TATTTATATATTATTTAATTCTTCCATTTGTGAATACGATTTGTAAATTACATAACTAATATTTATATCCATTTCTATCAATGTAGATTAATTTTAGTCTCAGTTTAATTTATTTTTCCTCTTGTTTTAGTTCTAAGAAATAGAAAAAGATAAAGAATAAATGAAAAATTAAACTGAGATTAAAATTAATCTACATTAGCGGAAATGAACACTAAAATCCTCAGAAGACTGTAAATACATGGCGTTTCAAATGTTATAAAAATTTATTTAATATTTTAATATTTTAATATTAATATTTATTTAATATTAAATATAAGTTAGATAATATATGATAAATAAAATACTGAAATAAAGAAAGTGTGATCATCAAAATATTTCCTATATCTTTTTTCTTTGAAAGGAAAAGGATAAAATAAAAAGATATGCGTATGTTAGTAAGACCACAATAATTATTTACATACAGACAGAGATTTACATTTGTGACATGAAACATTTTGTATTTGTAAAAATAAAATTAATTATTTTAATTAATGCAATTGTGAATCTCTTTCTTCAAAAATTCTTCAAACCCTATTCTTCAAACTCTCTATTTTTGCAAGTGTTTACTTCGACCGTTCATAAAGCTGATACTGAATTGACTTTGTCTTGATATTTTTGTATGAAGAGAAGATGATTTTCGATAACGTCGCAAACTCCACGACCCTCGTGCTGATCAGCAGCGATGCGCGTGATTGGAATAAATTTATTTGCCATAGGGTTCGTCGATGTCGCATTTCTCGCCCAGATTTAACCTCGTGAAAGTGTCAAGGCGTTTTCACAAAATTGCTAATTCGTTTTACTACGAAATATAGAGTCAAAGCGGCTGCAACGTTTCCGTCAAGCCGTTTTCATAAAATTGTTAATTTGTTTTACTACAAAATATAGGATAAAAGCCGCTAGAACGTTCCTCGCGTATGAATCATGTGCGCCTCGACCGCATCTTTATGACTCATGATTTTATCAGCTAAATTAAGTATTAATCGTTTACTAGTGGAGTGACTTATGACGAGCGAAATACAAGAAAGTGCAAACTGAAAAAATTATTGTAAAAGTTGAAAAATTATAACATAGAGTGTCATCAATGGAAAAAAATGTGGAAAAAAATTAGGTCAACTCTTTCAAACAGGAGATAAAATTGTATAATAGAATTTATTTTCATAAAGAATTAAGAATTAAATTCTGTAAAAGGGAATTAACGGAGAAGCTTTCAGCGCGAAAAGTCATCCATAAATCCTTTGAAGGATTGTCATTTATGAGAACATAATTTATCAAATGTTGCACGCATTTCTATAATGTTCAATGGACACAGTGTAATAAGTTAGAATTAAGAACATGAATAATTCAAAGACTACGATAATTCAAAGGCTGCATTGAGTTTATAAATCCTACTTTGTACTGAATATTTCACGAGAAGGAAATTACAGGAATATTAAAGAGAAAAACCTTGATTGTACGATAATAATGTGAACTTACAAAAATTATATTTCTACTGTATTAATTTTTATTATAAAATATTAATTGATTCAATTAATGTAATTCTAGTCAGCATAGTCAAAGTATTTACAATTATTATTTCTATAAATTTTATTGGGTCTTTTTGATTACATTTGGCCGCGATTTATTCATGTGCAGGCTTAATATCAATCATTTTATTTTCCAAAAATATATTTCAAACATATCCAACTGATTAGTCTGAGAAAATATTTTGAAATTCAATCAATTGAAAGATAGATCGTAAAAATATCGATTGAAATTTGAAGACATGAATAAAATGTATTACGAGGAAAGCGTTCATCAGCGTCGCAGTACAAAGCGCGAGTGCCCTTCCTCTCGTCTTACTCCCCCGCACATAAGTTCTTCAATTTACAGTAATTGGTGAATTTATTACCGTTCCACACAGGCTCTTTGGTCGTACGCCAGTACAGTCCCAGAGAAGAGTTAAATAGCTTTAATTATAACGGCTTATCCTCTTTTAAAACCGTCAAGCTGGACAAAGTAACCTTCATTCGACTGAAGATAAAACTTGTCAGATACTAGTGTTCGAAGAATAAAATAATCATAACAAGCAACAGTAATAAAAAAATTATATTTAAAAAAATCTTAATATTGACGCGTCAAAAATTAAAATTAATTAAAATCAGTATTATATCTAGAAATAGAAACAAATTAATTTAATTTAAATAAATATTTCAAGAAAAAATTGCAAGAGAAGAAAAATTAAAAGTAAAATTGAATTTATTAATTAATTTGTTTCATGATTAAAAAATAATATTTAGCTTCTTTAATAAAATTATTTATAATTATTTATATGTAAAGCAGAAAATAATTTATAAAATTTAAATAGAAAACTTTCGAAAGAAATTTTTGTATTATAGCTATCAGTCGAGAAGTTCGTGATTGAAGACATTATGTACGTAACTTAAAATTGGCAAGTCATATATTTTTTTCATCAAACCACTTTACTTTTGTAATATTTCCTTTTTTATTATTTTTATTAGATTCATATAGTTTTGTGAGAATTTGCATTTCTATGTCGGAATATTGGAACTTTACGACACAAACCAATATCGCATTTAGTGAAATCTTCAGTGTAAACGTGGACATCACGATTGCATTTCCATACGATCGAATATGTACAAAAATATATGTTTATATATAACATGATATTCTCAGATTGACCGCTCACATTTGACTTTCATCCGCAAAGTTGGTTTAAATGTACGCCATTATGCTCGTTGTTCATGCCCCGTCGCGTGTACATCCCTTTTTTTGTGGGAACGTGGACATTACGGACGTGCTCTTTGACCTCGTGGGAATAAGACCCACCACTGCGCTAAGCACATGCGTCGCCGGTTTATTTATTTAGTTCATTTTTATCACTCGCAGACGCGACTCCACGTTGACACGCGCGTAAATACGGACGCACGGTTAATGATGCGCGCGTTTGAACTTAAGTACCTTAATTAAAGGTAATATGCGTGATGCTATTCCTAATAGCTTTCATTACAACAACCCATCCGCTTTCTTATGCTTGTCATCTTGCGTTTACCATCTTGTGGGTCCGTCGCATTACGAAGGTGAGAATAGCGCGTCAGCTTAGAAATTACGGTGAGCAAAATTATATATCTGCATCATCTCACGCATCTGCGTTAATGCTTTACAGTAGCGAAAAGTTGCCAATTAGCATTATTTGCATTTGCAAAATAATCAATAATTTATTTTTATTTTAAATCAAGATCTGCAAAATATATCAGATCATTTTATTTTACGTTGCTATATTTTCCTTCTTTCCAGTTTACATTTTCCGTCGTTGTATCAAAATCAAATATCAGGATAAAATAGTTTTATAAACACATAGGAAAAGCATAGACTCAATTAATTCTACACTAATATACAATCGATGCTATTATTTAATATCTATTCTCATTCTTATTCTTAGTTATATACATGTACAGTTAATACACGTATATTATACTAGAATTTCTATATTTCGTATATAATTTAATTCGATTGTCAAACTTTGGTTTCAAAAGTTATGACTATACTCTGACTTATCTTTCAGCTTCAACTAACTTTTCGTCACTTAGGTCATTTGGTACCTGTCACATGATTTATCCTTGATTAAAGGTGACTATGATAAAGAAGGTACGTATTATAAAGCTGGTAAAGAAATTTCTCGATTTAAAGTTTAAAAACAGTGATCTAGATTAAAACATGGATTATCAATTTAAAAACATTTATTAAAAGAAAATATCTATTAATCCTTTTAAATTAATATTATTAAAAATAATTTTTAATTGTAAAGTTTAATTTAAAAAGCACTATTGAATAATAACGATATTTTTAGAAAAAAGAGATACAAATATAAAATAAAAAGAAAAAATAAAAAGAAAAATAAAAAGAAAAATAAAAAGAAAAATAAAAATATAAAATAAAAGGATTTTTGTAAAATATTTAATAAGATAAAATAATTATCTAAGATAGTGATGTAAGAATAAAAGAAAGGATGAGAGATAAGAAACGGAAAATAAAATTACGCAATTAACGTAAAATTAATCTACCCTTTCATCATTTCGACACTTTTCGAAATAATTTCTTAAATAATTATATCTTCTGTAGCTAAAAGAGCCTTTCACTTTAAAAAAAAAATCAACGCACCTGACAAGTTTAAAAAAAAAAGCAAAATGAAAAGTCAACATATGCTTGAAAAGAAAGGAAAAGAATTAAGTTTAAAGTTGGGAGTGCTGTTATGCGAGACGTGACGTAATATTAAGGAATGAAATCAACAGGGAACTGTCTTGAGATTGAACTTTATTTTTACAGACAATACACTTCACGAGAATTGAAATGTGTCCGCCTCGAGTTTCCGTTTCTGACGAAAACTAACTTTTGTATGCAAGACAAATCTTCAAGACGAGATAGGCAGTATTTCATTAATACAATGAAACATGGTGATTGGAGTGGTTTTAAAAAGGGAGATAACGCGAGAATTTGGAGAATGTATCGATTGCGATGATTTGTTTTTTGGTTGGGACTAGTAATAAACCTCGTAATCAGTTACGGAATGCAGGTTTGTTTAGATCTTATTTGTTGAGAGAAAAGGAATGTAGGGAAAAAATGTTCAAAACTATTTGGTAAATATTAGCTATCAATAATAGATATCAGTTATCAAAAAGATAGTGAAAAATGTTTAAGATTATTTTAGTAATCAAAAATATTTTAGTTATCGGTTATTAACAATAGATATCGATTATCAAAAAAAGGTTCTGAAATACCGAGTTGCGGCACGTAACAGTGCCCGTGCAGTGTCAGTGATACCGTGTCGGTGATGGTGATCGAGGAGGCCGAGTGCAGGGCTCTATAGATGCACCGTCACGTAGGGTATAACGGTCGAAGAGAGGGGGTGGTGCAGAGCGGTGAACGCTCGGGGTCGTGCTCGCGCTCCGCGGAGCCCACTTGTTCGCCACTACGTCGGCTTGTCACTCGCGAGTGCGTTGCCGGTGCGGCAACATCGAGCGTATCCTCGTTCGGAGCTCGACTGATCGCGCTTACGATTCCAGGTTTCTTTCACTCGGGGAAATCGCCTGGAACCATCACGAACGTCTCACGAAGAACGCGTGAACAGAAATAATCGGTTTTTATATTTCTTTCGGGAATCCCAGGTACAGAGTGATAAAGAGTGGTAGGGAACAAATAAGTGACCGTAATTTTCTCATCCATTAACGAAAAAGTGCACGTGACAGTCGCATCGTCAGGGGGAATATGCTTTAAGAGCATCCCTGTCGTCGTGTCGTTTCTTGACTGTCGGTAATCGCGAATCAGAGGATTTTCCAAGAGGATGGCGAACGAGACGTTGACGCGCGAGGTGGACGCGCATATAGTCACTATATTGTCGAGACTGTCGGCCCTTCGGGAGAACAATAGCGACGTATCCGACAGGAAGGCGCCCATGTCCATCGAGGCACGCAGTTTGGAGCTCTGGCGAGCGGTGGCCGTCGAGTGCTTGGCCACTTTTCTCTTCAGCCTTGTGGTGGCCGGCGCGGCCGCCTCTTCCGTAGTATCCGGAACCGGCCTCTCGGCATTAGCCACCGCTATAGCTTCCGGTTTCGCCATCGCCGCGATCTCCCTCATTTTCAGCCACATAAGCGGTAAGGGTATTATCGCAATATTTTTACAAGAGATAATAAAACAGCAGGGGGAGCAACGTACCCATATATTTATCGCCGAGTTTCGAGAAAAATGCAATTTACTTTGGAAAGAAAGTAATAAGAAATATTTCTTAGAAATATTGTTATTATTATAAAAATTATTACTACTGTTATTATTTCTTTATTTTCTTCGAAATATTTCTTAGTATATATATATATATATATTTAGTAATATTTCAATGTTTAAAAATTAAAAATTTCGATTAAAGTCGAGTCCTTATTTTGCGATGATCAAGTTTAAAATATAATTCAACTGTAACTTTAACTTGCGTTTTTTTAATTTGTTCTTATTTATAAAAATTTAGAAAGAAACAGTCTATCAACAGTTGGCCTTCTTTACCAAAGAAAAGGCGATAATATAACACGAAAAAAGTATAAAAAAATCTTTTTCACGTGCATTTGATTTCTATTTGATTATTATATTACAAACAAGTTAATTTTTTTTCCATAAATATTCATAAACGTGCTCGCTTGTTATTCGCAAATAATCTGTTCGATCTTAATTTATAATACACGTTGCATCAGCGAGGCTTCTGTAACGCGCGCTTCTTCTGCAAAGCGTTCAACAAAGAGGTTAATTACGCAAAGGGTCGCGAACTGCTTAAAGTGACGATCTCGTTGCGTCAATCGTTCTGTTCCTTCTTGTACATTTGTGCCGTTCACGAGCGACGGCCCTCGCGATTTCTCTCGATTGGCTCGTTAACCGATTACGCCGGCGCGGTCGATGTTACAACCGCGTTGTGCATGTCTATCGGAACGTATGTGGGCACTCTCGGAGTACGTTTCGCCGGCACGCACAATACGCGACACGCGTGTAATAAACTCTCGGTCCTCGTGATAGCAGAAACCCGATCCCGCATTTGCTCTTCTCATTCAGCATTGTTCCACAGATGAACGTGACGAGAAAACGCGCGCGAATTTAATAACTTAATCCTGTTCTTTGAACGATCATTTGTAATTAAAAATGCTCAATTCTATAGTCACAGAACTTGGTTCCGAATTAAAAGTGAGAGAGAAAAATCCTCTTTTGTGTCGAGTTAACGGTATCATTAATTTTTTGCTTTATGAGCAAATTTCTAAGAACTTGTAGATGAATCTAGATTCATTTTTTTTTAATTTTAATATAAATTTTTTAAAATTCTTAAAGCAGTCAACAGTTAATTTTGTCAATTAAGTCCCTGAAAATTGCGTTAATATCTGGTCGATTGTAAATATAAAATGCATTATTTTTGTTCATTTGTGATTGAACGTAATTTTATAATACATGTCACGATTTCCCCTTGAATTTTTATGATATTTGCAAAATAAATGAGAGACAAAAGTAGAGAGAAAGGAATTCTGAAAAGGACCGTTGATCAAACGGTAACGGTATGAGTCGGAAGGAGAATCGTGTGCAATCTCCCTCTATCTTCTTTGATTCTTCTCTCCTCTTTATGATGGAAAACCTTTTGCACGCAGGTGGACACGTGAATCCAGCGGTCTCGGTATCGTTCGCTTTGTGCAGACGGATTTCCCCACTTCGCGCGGTGCTGTACGTCGCGGCACAATGCGGTGGCGGCATAGCTGGGGCGGCGATGCTTTATGGGTAAGTTTGTCTTTGAGACTTAACAAATCTCGGTTGGGTACAACGCAAACAGTCGATTGCGCAAGACTGGTTGAAACCGTAAAATATTGCGTTGAAAAAGCTCGAAGATATTTTCCTCGCAGGACGATCATCTCTCCGTTCGTTTTGAGCGGTTAACGAAATAATTGATGACCGAAATTACGATGAAGATATTAAAGATGTTACGATACATTTTGCAGTGCCTCTCCGGTATCTCGTTTTCTCAGGGAAATCGCAAGATTATTGCAACGATAACTCATTTTATTCTTCTAAGAACTTGTAAATGAATCCAGATCAATTTTTTTAAATTTTAATATAGATCTTTAATATCTTTAAATTAACATCTAGTCGATCGTAAATGTAATTGGCAAAAAGCCTGCAATCTTCAATTAGCAATATAATAACGATAGATCATAATAAAGTTGGCGTTATCCGACGTGTAAAGTAGCGTAGATCCTCAGTGTTCGATCAATGTTAAGATCAGAATGAGATACACTGGTCTGTGAAGACAGCTGCTAGATAGGAGAACCAGGAAGGCATGTGGCCCATCCAAAGCTGGGCTGAGTTTTCTTCCAAGCGTTCGTACGGCGGCCGGTGGCCTGAGTGAGTTTTGGGAGGAGCACATAAATAATAATCATCATCGTGATTTCTATTTCGCGCCAGTCACGCGTAACAGCGGGAAAGGCAAACGTTTTCGTAATATCAATATTTTGCGACTTCGTGATTTAAAAAAAAAAAAAACGGCACGTAGTTCGCGATATTAAGCAATTGTTTCCAAATTTATAGATATAAATTCAATTGAAAAAAATGAAAAATTATAAGATACCTCAGATGTTGTCTGTCGAGCAATGTCATCTATTGATCCAGTATTGAAAAAAATTTTTAAAAGATAACAGAATTTCATCGTTGACGGATGAAAAATTAAGATGTATTTTAATCACGCTTAAGTGAAAGTTTTCAAGTTGATTCTTTTTTAACAAGTATAATGAAACCAGTCTTAAAGTTGTAATATTACAATGAATAAAATATTGCGGATATCTTACATTCATGATTGTAGATAAGTTCCTTCGATGCGTGGACAGCGATACAGTCGTATCGCGTAACGCAAACAACGTTTGTCAGCAAATGTATACGGTTCCATACGATAATGCACACAAACTCTGACATGCCGATACGTCATGAACACAAGAATACAATAAAAATGCGAGCCGTTACAACTTAGTTCTGAAGAATGAATATCCCAATTCCCTTCAGAAATATTATGATGTACGAAAGCACGAACACCTTTGAACGATTCTTAAATAACCCTCTCGATATATGCAAATCGGTGCACGTGCTTCGATCTCGCTCGCGGGCAGACGGCTTTTATCTCGAAAAACGAGAAAAAAAATAAAAGGGGAGAGGTTGCGCGCGCGCGCGCGTGTGTGTGTGTGTGTGTGTGCGTGTGCAGAGCTGTGCACTAAGAAACAGCGCTTCACTTGGGGGAGTGTGCGAGTAGATTGTCCTTTTGAAGCGGCAGCTGAGAAAGCTGAAAGAGTGCAAGGAGTGTGAAACGAAGCGAAGCAACATCACGAACAAGATGAAAGAAATACAGGAGGAGAAGCGCGAGGAATGCCTAAAATAATTGCATTATATTTAATGTACATTATTTAATATACATTATATTTAATACTTGGTTAATTTACGAAGAAATGTTTAAAGAACATGAAAGTATATGATATACACTGTAATATACAAAAAGCAAAGTCTCGTTTATAGAGTCGAAGAATGTCTCTTTCTTCTCCTTGATAATTAAGTAGAAGAGATGAGAACGTGTTAAATCGGTCGAAGGAATGCAACAAGTTGGTATGAAGAATACACAAAATAGAGAAAATTAAAATCCGAAGAGAGAAAGAAAGAGAGCGTCGAGGGGATGCGTGGAAAGAAGATATCGTTATAAATGGTATGCCACAGCGAGTAATTATAATTTAATTGAAAAACATGGAGGATACATATTTGTTTAATAACTTCTGGTGCTTAATAATCGAGAGGGAAAAATGGAGTGTTAAAACGCTCGGAGGAATGTAAGAAGTTGGCACGAGGATAACAAAATGAAGGAGATCGAAGCCGGGCGATAGCGGAGAAAGGGGAGCGGAGGGAAGGGCAAAAAAGAGAGCGTGCAGGAGGACGGTAACGAGAGAAGGTGAGAGAAAAAACCGTGGAGGCAGCGCGGCCGAGACGGAAAGAGAGCGACAGCGGCTAAGGGCGGAGAGGACGAGAAGCGGAGAGGAGAGTGGAAGAGGCAGAAAGAGGCACGCGTAATTGGCAGGCGAGGGAGAACCTCGGAAGGTGAGCACCTGCCTCGTACGAGAAGCGAAGTCCCGGCGGCAGCGACAGCGGCGGTGGCGGCGGCGGCGGCGGCGGCGGCGGTCCACCGCCTCGCAGCTGCCGCAGATGTTTCCCCGTGGACCAAAAAAGATCGCGCGGAAAAAGGAACGCGCGAGGCGGCGAGCCGGTACCGCCAGGCGAGGAGGACGAGGATAATGAATACCTACGCACGCACGCACCACGAGGTGGGACAAGTTTCACGGCATTGGGTTCGGGCAGATCGGCCCGTGAAGGAGGACACGCCGCGAGCGAGCGATCCGAGAGCGGCAGCGCGCCACCGCCGAGCAGATGTTCCCGCTGTTACGGAGATCATTGTCCGTTCTCTCTTTCTTCATCTCGCTCCGACTCCTTTCTTCACCACTGAGCGATGTACTTCGCCAAATTTGGCTTTACCTTTACGTCGCGTGTCCATACTCGGCGCCAGTTCTTAAGGTACTTGGATCACGAATGAAATATCCGCTCTTCTCTACTTCACAAACTGTAATCTAAAATTCAGATGAAACTGTATTAGATATGTGATGTTGTTGCACGTTTTTTTATTTTTTTATTTTTTTTTATGAGAGTTCTAGATATTTAATTTATTTTTATATTTAGTTTTATGCAACAATTTAATTTTGATATTATATTACGTAATAATTATATCGATGTAATAAAATTACATAAATAAATAAATATATATGTTTGTTCTATATTTTATTAGCATTGCTTTTTTCAATATACATTTCCTGTTGAATTGATGTACCGCCAGATTTATTAACTCAGAATCGTGCATCAGCTGCGGGTTTCATTAATATTAATGAGTTACGAATCGCAGAGGTCAAGTAGCATGCAAAACAATTTACTATATTTTTTCATGATCTTTTCATTATCTTTGTAAAAAAATCTACTATTTATCTTTAACTTGATATTATTGAGTTTTATGCTTAATTTTTTGTCATGTTAAATTTAAATTTCTCATAATTTGTATCCAATTAAAAATTTTAATTCTCATACGTATTATTCCCTCTTATTTTTTTTTGTTACTCATCTATGCGATGCTGCGTGTTTCTATCTATCTCATCACGTTTTCCATCTCATGTGACACTCCCCCGGTCACCCTCCAACCACCATATGACCGCACAAAGAGGTAACAAGTGCGCGATATGTACCGAAATAATAATCGAACAATACTCTAGTTAACCGGACGGGGCCAACGGGGCCCTTTCCCGAGACGTCTCGAGGGAATACCGTCGAGTTTGGTACAGAAAAAAAAGTCAGGGCGTGAGATCGAGAGAAAGAGAGAGAGAGGTACAGACTGGGACGAGAGTATGGAGAGTGCACTTGCATCTGTTGCGACTTTACTGGCTAACGGCGCGCGGCGGTGGGTGTAAAACACGCGTCGAGGCGTTTTCCTAAGGCAAGGGGAAGGACTGAAAAAAGGGATCCGGAGGAGAGGGAGAAATTACGGGGAACCGAGGGATGGATTTTTGGCGCCCCTATCATCGTCGTCCTCATCCGGGATTGTTCTCAATGCCGACTGAGCGCGAAGTAATAAATATAAAAACCACCCGATAAACCCCAAAGTGAGACTATCCGGGTTGAAAAAACGGGATGGTAAAAGAGAGAGAAAAAAATGATAGAAACAGCAGCCATGAATTTAACTATCCGTGAAGAATTTACTGTTATCTCTTTATTACGTGCACTTACATGATTTTTCCATTACTGCACTCGCAGGGGAGTAATTTTTTTCTCGTAAGGATGACAAAAAAAGTGATTTTACTTAATTAATTTTAAGGATAAAACATTTTTTTTTAAGAGTTATTTTGTTTACCTATTTAAATAAAATTTAAAATTTTTCATGTACTCAAAGTACATGAAAATACAAAGTAAACTTGGCATGCTTGGAATCTGTATTTTAAGGGAGGTAATCTAATTTAAAGTCGAAAAATACGTATTTTTCATGAATTTTTTTGGAAAGTTTAAAATAAGCTTTTGAAATTGTACAATTTTTACATTTATTTGAAGAACACAAATATATGTTTGTTAAAATTTATATATTTCGTTAAGCAATAAAATATATGTTTGTAAAAAAATATAGCTTTTGCTGGCATTCTTGACTTTTTGCTTCTTATATTGAAAAAAAAATTGAAAATTTAATATAAATATTTATATTTAATATGGCTGTAATATGAATTATTAGAGAAGAAAAAATATTGAGAATTTTTAAAATGAAATTGGAAAAAGAAATTAAAAAATTTCGCGAAAAAATGAAAATTTATTTTTAATATATTCCATTCCGTTTCCGTTTGACATATTTTCTATTTTAATTTTATTTCTATCATAAGATTATGATTTATCCCATTAATTCCATAAAACTTTCTTCTTATTAAAATTTATTGTAGAAAATGTTGGCTAATATGCTTTCTAGATTCATAAACATCTGAAGATCTTGCAACCTATATATAATGTTAATGGCTACGCACTTTCTCCGATATTGCGGATTAGGGGATTTATAGTTGTATTCGTGCATCACGAAAGTTACTCTTTATTCCGTAAAATTGGATGCGTCGCGAATTAGTCTATTGAAATGTCGAGACACGTGTGTGTGCCAGGTAAGCGCGTACGACGCATGTTAT